TAAGACATGATTTGATTCTTTTTTTGGGGGGGGGGGTAGAGGGGGGGGGTTCCGAAGACACGGGTCCTTCTTAGATATGATGCGTTATGATGGAGTTTCTGTTGTAGTAGGAGTGGTACATACGCGGACCCTACACATGAGAAAGCCATATGAGAATGCATGCGTTGCGGCGGCCATTCCTTGACCTCTTTTGGGCGTGTTTGTTTGTGGTAGGTACATTCCCGGTACATCCCTCAAATCACTCGATAGTGCTAGTGCCCACAAATGGCGTAAAAAGATCCAGTCTCCCTGCTACAAGCCGAGAGCCTTCATGCCGGGATCATTCAACACTAGCTCTGAAATCCTACGAAGGTGTTTTCTCCTCCCCTAAGCCCCAAACCCCAAATCCCAAACCCCAAACCCTAAACCCCAGACCCTAAACCCCAAACCCTGAACCCTAAATAAATTTTCATGGGTAGCCAGTCCTGGAATAAAGCCCCTGGAGTTGGATGATGCTATTGCTATAGCTCTAGACCAAAACCCTCCAGGTGATGTAGTATTCATGGGCATCTTATGTAGGGGTATAAACGGGAAACCCCAATAATGAGTACTTAGAGGTAGCTGTTACTCTGCTTATGACCCGTCCAGTCCCTAAACTCTGCACCTGAAGCCCCCAACCCTTCAAAGCCATTATCTCAGTGGTGCTTACAAGAGACTGGGTCAGCGGATCCCCGCCATAATTTCTCCGTGATCTCCATATATACCCCTCTAATAATTTTCGGAGATCCTAGAAAGCCTTCCAGCCCTAAAGCCTAACCCCTGAAATCACTGATCTCTAAACGCTAGGCCCTACAGTAGCGCGTAGATAAACATAATCACACAAGGCATCTAGAACCCTAAACCTTAAACCCTAAACCCTCAACCTCGGTAATCATCCCTATAGACCCTTCTAAAGCCCATCTTCCATCTTACTGTTTCATTATCTTGGCCAGTTGGTTCTTCCCTCAACCGCAAGCCATTTTTTGGCAAGATGGGGGTCGTGGTAAGTAGGCGGCCCAATGTAGGCCACAATCCCATAATTTTTGGAAATCCTTAATCTGCACAAGCAGCAATAAACAAACAATTCTTCATGTCACTTCCCATATTCGTTTCCATTTGATCCGGCATCATTGGGTCATCCAACTCTTTACAAGCCCAAAACCTAATCCTACATGTCCCGAACACCCCTGTATTACCCAATATCTCCCGATGACCTAGGTACTTGGACCCGTAGTGCTCATAGACTTCGATCCCTCGGGAAGCCCAGTGCACCCCTGAGGTTTCTCACGTTGGGCTTGGTGCTTGGTGCAGGGCTTGGTACTCCAAACCATGAGCTTACAAGGGAAATCCCCATGCAACAAGGTCTCCAAAGGGTACAAAGGCAAACTCCCTGAAAACCCTTGACCCACTCTTCACTCCTAAACCTTACGAGGCCGCTCCAGTTGCACAACCGAAGAAGGCCAAGCGGCCCCTTCCGAGCAGGCCTGTCCATCTAGGTAATACTTTATAGTCTCGTAGAGACCTCCAAGTATTTCTTACAGGATTTTCTCAGGATAGGACCACGCCGCTTGAAATGTTTTGGGCCGTGGGGCCAGGTTATGAGGGGTTATATGGAGATGTAAAGTGTTGATTGCTGTTAGTACTTTTTTCGTCTTATTACTAATGTTGCAAGGATTCAGGTTTTAGAGTTTTAGGGCTTCGGGGGGTTTAGGGTTGGAGGTTGGGGTTCAGGGCTGGGGTTCTGGGTTTCCCTACATGGGTGTTTCTCAAGATCACCCCGTGAAGGATCTGGAACGGACCCCTTCATCCCCTTACAACTATTATCTTGTAGCCCAGGGTTTACGGTTTGGGCCCTACACCCTAAAACCCGAAACCCTAAATCGCTAAACCCTAAACCCTAGAACCCTAAAACCCCAAACCCTAAAACGCTAAACC